GGTGCAGCAGGGACCTACCCCAACGTCAGGGAGAAGAGTATATTGGGTACCTCCCTGCTCAGGTGCTCTAGATTGGAAATAAACTGAGGGCCCACGGCTCGCTCCTCTGGCTCCTGGACCCTTCCGAGTTAAAGAGAGGCTCCCTTTGAAACCCTTCTTTTAAGTATCTGGCTGACCAGGGAGAGTGGATACGAGAGAGAAGTACATCAGAAGGCAAGTCTCTATCTCTGGAAGGCTTGTCTACATTTCTCTGTTTGTTTTGTTTTTTGAGACAGAGTCTTGCTGTGTCACCAGGCTGGAGTGCAGTGGTGCAATCTCGGCTCACTGCAACCTCCACCTCCTGAGTTCAAGTGATCCTCCTGCCTCAGCCTCCCGAGTAGCTGGGACTACAGGTGCATGCCACCACGCCCAGTTAACTTTTTGGATTTTTAGTAGAGACAGGGTTTCACCATGTTGGTCAGGATGGTCTCGATCTCTTGACCTGGTGATTCACCTGCCTCGGTTTCCCAAAGTGCTGGGATTACAGGCGTGAGCCACTATGCCTGGCCATGTTTTTTACTTTCTATTTTCAACTATCAACAGAAATACTGTAACCCAACCCCACAAAATGGCTGAAAAAGGAGTGGCAATGCATGAAACCCTCGGGAGTTCCTGGATGATGGTCATCCTCTCACCACACTGGAGGATAAGCACCCTCATATAAACCAATGGGAAAGCAGGCTCTACTTTATGAATATTTTGGCTTCACCACCCGCCAGCTGTTTGATCTTGGAAAAGCTACTTCACTTCACATCTATTAAAAGTAGATAATAACTGAACCTATCTAAAATGGTTATTTCCAGGGTTGCAGACTTAATATACGGAAAACTTAAACTTATGCAAATAAGTACAATTAGTATTAGCTATTATTATGGTTATTGTGTTGACATGATTATTAGCATCATTATGCTTCCTCTCTGCTGTGTCCCCTGCCCTGTCATATTCTAACTTTTTCTGAAGACCACTCTGATGATTTCAACATCTTCTTCTATGTTCCAAATTGTCTCTTGGAATATTCTTTGGAAGACTGGACCAAGAAACTGCAGTTCAAATAATTTCCCTTTTCCTAGTAATAGAGACAACTAAATCAACCACTCAGCAATCAGGCGGGATTCTCATACATATGGCTGTCAACACATTAGAAGTTAAGCATCTTGCCAGTGTACATGGACCAAATATGCATGTCATTATTCTTCTTGAGATGTATCACACGCTCAGACCCACCTCTAAAATCTATCTTAATAGGAAAGAACAACTACACAGATGATTAAAAGCCCTGAGACCTGATTGCTTGTGTGGGCAGGGGGTGGTGGAATACTGCAGATTCCCCATAGTGCAAAAGTCAGTCCAAGAGACGGTTGGCCGAATTCTTTGTTGTGGAAAAGGTAGACTAGGTTAATGGAGAACCCATCCCTGGACTCTGGAAAGCAGAGGTGGAGGTTGGTGCTATAATATCTACTAGTCCACTGTGCTCCAACTATCTAGTTTTTCAGCTTCTCAAAGGGCTGAAAATTCTGTATGACAGTTTATAAACACAGTCTCTAAGTGTTTTTTATATTGTTTCCATTCAGAAGTGGGTGTATATATCCTCCCTGTGATTCTGGGCTACAACTGTTTGAATAATAGAATGTGGTGGTGTGATGCTACGCCAGTTTGGGGCCCAGGACTTAATACATGAGCAGCTTCCACTTCCTATTTCTTTGGACATTTGTTGGAACTCAGCTACTGAAGTATGAAAAAGTCAAAGTGCTTGTGAAGACGTCCTCATGAAGTGGCCCATAGGGAGAGGAACTAAGGCTATGGCTTTCAGCCCTAGCTGAGCCCTGAGCTGACAGGCAGCACCCACTGGCCTTCCATGAGAATGACCACCTTAGAATTGAACCCCCCCTCACCTACTGGAGCCACCCCAGTTGATACTACACAGAGTAGTGATGAGTCTCTGCTGAGCTCCGCCCACATTGTAGATTCAGGGCTAAACAAATGATCGTGGTAGTTTTAAGCACTAGGTTGTGGAATGGTTTCTTAGGTGGCTGGGTAAATGAATCCTTCCCTGGATCCCCTCAGCACTCTCTTAATCCCGAAATCCTGCTTCCTTTGCTCTTTCCTCTCAGTCCAGCTGAAGATTGAAATTAGCTGTCAAAGCTGGAAATATTGCAGGGAAACAGAGAGTCTTTGGTCAGAATACAGATGTTATGACAATTCCCTAGTAATAGTCTTCAGGTTGCTTTTCTATGTGTCAAACAGTAGAAACTTGTCCCTAAAATGTCTTGTCCCAGTCTTAAAAAATCAGGCTTCTTAGCACTATTTACAATAGCAAAGACATGGAACGAACCCAAATACCCATCAATGATAGACAGGATAAAGAAAATGTGGTACATATACACCATGGAATACTATCTATGCAGCCATAAAAAGGAATGAGATCATGTCCTTTGCAGGAACATGGATGAAGTTGGAGCCATCATCCTCAGCAAACTAACACAGGAACAGAAAACCAAACACTGCATGTTCTCACTCATTAGTGGGAGTTGAACATTGAGAACACATGGACACAGACAGGGGAACAACACACACCAGGGCCTCTTGTGGGATGGGGGCTGAGGGGAGGGAACTTAGAGGATGGGTCAATAGGTGCGGCAAACCACCATGGCACACAAATACCTATGTAACCAACCTGCACATTCTGCACATGTATCCCCCCCACCTTTTTTTAGAAGAAATAAAAAAAAATCAGCCTTCTTGATAGCAATACCAGAAATGCAAATTGTCACAAAGGAGGTACAATTTTACACTAGTGAAATTAGCTTCTTTTTTTTAAAGATAATACAGGTAAAGTTGGGATGAAATCAATACATTGCACATGGCAGGGTAAATTGGTACAATCATTTTAGAAAATAATTTGGCAATGTGTAACACACATGCTCCCGTACACACAACACACACTTTCAAAACCAACCTTTGACTCAGTAATTTTACTTCTGGTTATTTACCCTTAGCAAATAATCTAAAGTAGGAAGGAAATAAATGAAACTTATTTTATAATGGTGAACAAACTGGAAACAGCTTAAAATTGTAAACACAGAGAAGTAGTTAAAAGTATATTACACTAGCCTCATGAAATATGATGCAATCATTCAGATAATAATAATGAAAACCAGTAATCTTCAGCTTACGATGCAATACTAGGAATGAAAAAAAATCAAAATATAAGGTTGTATGTTCACTGATCACAACTTTATAAAACTGGAGATACATATAGACAAATACTAGAAGGAAATAGATTTTTAAAAATTTAAGTTACTTTAGATTTTTTCCCCTTTAAAAGTAATACTTTATAATTTTTTTAACATTTAGAAAAGGGAGCATGGGAAGATGCTCCACTAAAAAACATTAAGTTACCTTCCATCCAAATAAACAGCTCCTTTTCTTGGTGAAGACAGTTATTGTCTGTCTGTTGAATCAAATCAAGAACTAGTACTGGGGTTCTATGGGATATGATTTTTGGAATATGTAATTTATTCTAGAGGATAACTTCCTAGAGAACAAGTCCTTGATTATGTTTTGTTTAATTTGTACTGTGGGTGTATGCTAAGAAAACACGAAGGTAATTAAGAGATTTCAGCTAAATTAGCATATTATAATTTCTGCTCCCTCTTTCCTTCTTACCTCCTACTTTTTCCTTTCTACCTCCTACTTTTTCCTTCCTAAGCTTCTGAAATATAAAGTGCTAAAGTAAAATTAGTAATAGCAATTGCTATTTTTAGAGTGAACTTTAATCTGATTTTCACAAAGATCCATGCCAATTCCAAATCACTGCTGTTCACTGCTGTTCTCTTGGTGCTGGTATTACAGGGATTGTCTTTTGTATTAAAAGTTAAAATTACAGTCACACAGGAGAAAGAAAACCTGGCTTAAACTTCTCAGTGGTCAAATCTACACCAGTAAAAGCAAACAAAAAACTGATTGCAATTGTGTACTTGAATATTTAAAGCCAAAAACACTTATATCCCAGTTGTTCAAATACTGGCATTTAAGATCTTCCTCAACTCTGAAACATGCACAGAGAAATGGAGAATGAAGACCTGGCTTATTTAAATTCCAAAATCCCGCTTAAAGTCCTGTGTGTATGACAGCAGGAAGTAAGGACATTTTCTGTGCCAGCCTTCTTGCTCTTTACTGTAGTCATCACCCTACATCACCACCATCCAAATAAGTGACAAACTAAGCATTAAGTAAATTCCTATCTGAATATGTAGCAAAACAGTAAATCTGTGTTTTCACAAACAAATTTCTACATATGACTTGTTTATATTTTACTTTGAAGATAAATAGCTGCTTGGAACACTGAATCTATTTCAAAATTTGGTCACATTGAGCATTTTTCTCAGTCATAAGATAATCATAGCAGATAAGGGTGATTCTGCAATTCTGCCTGGGCTATGGCAACAAGGAGTCAGACTTCTCTTATCTCTGTGGCTCCTTCCAAATCAGCCCACTCAATGCTAATACAGATGTAAACACATTAGTTAGCCAACCATTAGGGGCTTGGGAGCTAAAATGTAAACTCCCTCATTTCTTAGCAGGCTTCTAAGCTAAACAGCCTACTGCTACACAATAAAACAGACCAACAGACTTAAGTCAGAATGTTCTCCACCAAAATAAAATAAAAATAAATTAAATACAATTAAATTAAACTAAGTCAATAAATAAACAAACCCCACAAACTGGATAACAAATTTTAAGAGGCCCAAAGATAGCTCTGGAAAGTAGAAAAGACAATCATTCCCTTTCTCTCCTTCTGTCTCTTACACACACCCTAAATCACTTGAGTTGTTTAAAAGAATCTGCATTAACACCTCTTGATTAGTGTCAAAGTAAAAATTGCTTAATAGTTAAGTGATGAAATGTGTAGAACTAAGCATCACAGGTTTGATCTTAATTGGCTTGATACTGTGACTTACACTGGAGTTGTTTGTGGACTTTTACCATTATGGAAAAGCTCCCCATCTCTTCCATCTCTTCAGGCCGACAGCAGGCTTGTAAAGTGGAGAGACTAACTTAATGATGCAAATGTTTAGGCGGGTGATTAGAGACACTCTGAGCATTGCATTCTCTTGTGATCTCAAATTTGCTCAAGGAAATGATGGCTTCAAGCAGAACTGAAGGTGTATCTAAAAATGATTGCGGAATCTCAGTTAATTTGAAGTTGTTTTCTTTGAAATGTCTTTTATCATTTCCATTTGTCAATGACCTTAAGTTGATGAAAAACAAGTGTATCTGAAGTCTGTGTCTGCCATTGAAGAGCTATAACTTTTAACACGCACTTTGCAGCAATGCTTGCAGAGGTGCAAGCTGACTGAACTAGGAGAGATCTTGGTTCCCACACTGAATCAATACAGACTCACTGTGTTTAGTGGTACCTCTTTCTTGCATCTTGGAGAGTCTGGGTCACTGGAGAACAGATATTTGGACCATGATGACTATACTGTAGTGCCTTCTCTAAAAGTTATCGTTGACATGTAAGACTGTAGGGCTGCCAATCACTTGGTACCACATTGTGGGGTCTGTTTTGATTGGTTAGCACCCATGCCAGAGGGCTGGCAACATATTTTTTATTATGATCTCCCAACACACAAAACTTCTTGGGCTGAAAATCAGAAGATCCTCAGGGATGTCAATATTTGTATATTAGAGGTTTAAGGTCTTGGCTATAGATTTTTTTTAAGTGTGGCAAAAGTACAGGAGTGAGTTAAGTCTCCCCTGGGAAATTAGCATAAAATCTATAGAAAAGAAAGGACAGATCCAAATTAAATGAGCAGAATAATACCAGTGCTCAATCAATTTGATTTTATATTTTAAAAACCACCAAACTGTATGTAGGCCTAGGCTAGAAGTCAAAGATTTCAACTACACAGCTCAACTTTCTCAAGAAGAGTGCTAATTTCCATTTTTATTTTGGCCCCATAATGCCCATAATCCCCGTAATTTCTAGTTTTGAAAGTAGAGTCACCACACTTACAATTCAAACTCAGGCCTGGCATTATTTTACCTGTGTCTTATTCTCCTAAGGTATCAAGATTACCAGCCACGTTCATGGAGACCATGTGTAGTCTGCCTTCGTTTACAGCTGAGAAAACCAAGGGCCAGAAATTAGGTAGCTTCCTGAGTATGAGACACTGTGGAAACTCAAGACCCAAAGTCTATGGTTCTTTTCAACTCATGTGTGCTTACTCAGCTCAATACAGAGTAAATGTCATTGGTGAAAAGGAGAAGTCAGGACCAGCTACGTGACTCGCAGGGCCTGGTGTAAATAAAAATGGGATTCTCTTTGTTTGAAAAAAATTAAGGATTTCAAGATGGCGACAGCAGAACATTCCAAGCATGGGACCAAGTGCAGCTGCAGGTCACATACCCAGGAAACTGATGCTGCATGTAGTTGTTCCATGATTTACTGGCCTTTGATGCTTTGAAAGCAAAGGGGAAGAAAAGCTCTGTGAACACTGAAGATGCTCTAAAATCATCTGTTGCATGGATAAATGAATGAATGTATAGGTGAATAAGATGATTCTATACCTAGAAGCATCTTAAAAATTACTACTAAGACTGAGGGTCAGGTTGAGCTAATCCAGAAAGTTACTATGAGTACTTAGTTCATCCTTTAAGTTCCAAAATTCATCATCTGAAAACACTTCACAACATGATAAACCTTCCTAACCCACCACAAACAAGTCTCCAGAATCAGCTTCAATAATGAGTGGCCGTGTATACAAGTGGTGCTGCTTCTGTGCTCTGATGGGCTCAAGAAATGCCACATGCAGAATTGTTCTTACATTTTCTCTGTCTCTTTATGCTTTTAGAAGCAGCCATGCAAATACATTTTCTGGGGGAGGAACCACTCCATGTATAAAATCCATAAGCCTTTCATAAAGAATGTTTCGTATATTGCCAAACATCCTTGATTTGAAAATAGTAAATATAAAAACCAAAACTACTATAACTTACTGAGTTTATGTCAGATACCATGCTAAGTGCCTTGCATATATGTCCTCCTGAAGACCAATAACATCCGTATTTGGTAGAAATACTATCCTAATTTTCCAGTGAGGAAAACTAGGCTCTGTGAGGTTAAGTGGCAGACTCAGAATTTGAACTCCAGACTCTCTGGACTCACAAGGATGCACAGTTGGGAAGGAAAATTGTGCAAACTGAATATAGAGAGAGTAGCGAAGCAAGGGTTATTGCTTTCCCTTAAGGAACAAGACTTGTATTCAATAAAGCCTGAGTGAAGTTTTACCTTGGTGAACAAAAACGCAACTATAAAACACTGAAAGTAGAAATTTCAAATATTGAAAATTTAGGTGATTAATTTTTACAGCTTCTTGCAAAGAAATATCAGCTGTACAAAGAGAGGTAAAGGAGAAGCGTCCTCACCCGTATTTTATGATGTCTTAGGACTGATTTATTGTATTATTGTACCAGGAAAACAGGTTAAACAGGACAGGGTGAAGGAGGACTCAGAGCCAGGCCAGGAGTTCCACTCAGGTAGTCTGTAGTGTATTTCATTAAGTGATAAGAAGGATTAAAAAAAAGTGAGTGGGTACGTGTCCTCAGTAGATACAGAATTTATCACATGTAACAGAAATACTACAAATCTTTAACTTTAGAGCTTTAAGGGTTAATGAGCTTTTTGAAGTAGGAACCATGAGAAAATGTGAATTTATAATCATGAAATGTCTTACAGAGTTGAAGAGAATCGAGTTAGCATTTGTGTCTCCACCTCTCAAGAGATAAAAGTGCCTTCATAATTATGGCTCGTGTTTACTATGATGTTTCAAAGTGTTAATCTGGCAGGGGTATCTTATTTCTCATTTAAAAGAAGCTAAAGCAAAAAAAAATATGAAAGTATAGTGAAAGTAAAATCGTTTTATGAATCCTGCCTACATTTTTGTAGCATTTTCTTACAATGTCGTATCTTTTATTTTTTAAATTACCTAATCAAATTCAAGTTCTGTTCCAAGTATGCAAAATTTTCAAATCATGCAGAAAAATATTGCTGGCCAAACACCAAACTTTGAATAGTTTAAGCACATTCACAAATGTGTTTAATGTACACTGTGTATAGATAATATGTATAAATAACAATGGTATAAATAACAATGTATAATTCTCTATAACAAAATGGTGATTTTGTTTATGTATCCACTGGTAAGCCAATCTCTCCCATTTGGGTCAACTGAAGTGGTCCCATTCCCCTGACCAAGACTGCTTTAGGCTTCATACATGAGCAGGTGACATGACGTTATCCAATGAGAGCCTGGGGAAATCTGTTAGTAGGAAAGGTTTCCTGGGAGAGTTTGTCTCTTGATCTGTTGGATTCTCACCTGGAGTGTACCAGTCTTACTAGGAACATGAAAGGAGCTAGCAAAGGAGAAGATTAACAGGCTGAGAATGGCAAAGAAACATGGAAAACACCTTAGTCTTTGATGACTTTGTTTAGCCAAAGAATTAACCAACTTTGGAGCAACCACATTTCAGAACTTCTTATTATGTGACTTAATAAGACCCTAATTGTTTAAGCAATTTTAAATTAGGTTTCCTCTTACTTGTAGTCCAAAGCATACTAACAATGGAAACCCTACATGATTGAGCACCTTACTGTGTTCTAGGAACTGTGATGGTCAATTTCCATGCATTATCTTTAACTGACATCACATCTCTTTAAGAATATTTTCTCCATTTTACAGAAAAGGAAACTAGACTCAGAGGTCTCGTGATATACCCAATTTCTCAACTCTGTTAAGCAAACAGCATCGGTTTCCAACCTACGTCTGTCTGATGTTGAAGACTATCATTTAAAATCTCTGTAGGGGCACATGTGTGGTGTATTATATTTTTATATATGTCTATATTTACATACACCTATGTATAGCATGGACAAACGTACATACTTACATATACATATATGTGGAGTGAAGGCGATATCTATAGTAGCACAATCATTTACCATATATTTTGAATCTTTGATGGTTAAAGATAGCAGGAATAATTGAGGAAAAAGGCAACAAAATAAATCAAATGGCAAGAACTGGGTAAAGTAATAATTGCCAAGATTTTTTATGCATTGGAAGTTACTTATCTGCCTTCCCATGGATCAGATAATTGAAGCTCTGTTCTTGCAGCTAGCTGGGACATCACTTCAGATGACATCTGCATTAAACACTTATCAACCTGTACAAAGACCATGCTCACTGAGGGCTACCATACACTCTCCCTTTTTCATAGAACACTGCCAACCTATGAAGGCATTCTCTTTCTCTTTGACCTTGGATGCAGGCCTACAAATTTCTGTAGCACAAGCTGCAACAGCCACTACCAGTAAGTCAGGTTTGGCTCTCTACTTTGAAACTCATTTGCCCTCTCAGTTCTATGTGTTCAATGGCAGGGAGGGGCAGGGTGGCTCTTTGGGGATATAACTGAAAATTACTGGGAAATTGTGCAATGGTAACGCATCAACCCCAGAGAGCTGAATGAGGTGCAATTACTGCTAACTGAAAATATTATCTATGTATTTCTGAAAATTGAGTCTAAAAACTATATTAGCAGCAATGAAGTTTAAGTGATCCCAAAAGAAAAGGGCAAAGTGTTATAAAATGTAAATGGCAATAATAAATTTGAGAAGTTGGACTATCTGTGTGTCTGTCTCTTTTTGCAGGTAGCTACATGCAGGTTCATAAAGTAGATTCATATTTTCTAAAATCAGCATGGTATTTGATTGTACTGCCTAGGGGATTAAAATAGGAAGATAAACATAGCATGAAGGGATCCTACTACTAGAAAGAACTCTGGAGGTCATATAGACTCTCTCCCGCCCATCACCACCTCTCTTTGTTCTAAGGAGAAAACTAAGGCTAGCAAGGCCAGTCCTTGTCCACAGGTAATCTGGTTGTCTAACAGTTCAGCTAGGCTGTGTTTTTCCAGACTCTCAGCTCTGTGTTCCTACTCCTTTTTCAAATTGCTCTGACAGCCTTTTCAGTAATGAGCACACATTTTGAACTTGAAAATTACATTAAACCTCAGAGATTAGCTAAGTGTGTGGTGAAGAGAAGAGCGGGAGAGATGGGTAAGACAGTGAGGGAGGGATCTCTGATAACTTTCTATAGTTCTTTGGAAACCTAGCAGAATACAGGCTCCTGACTGTCTGATTGGTCTCTGTGGGTATCAGTCCTCACAGGCTGGAAATGGTCTTGGCTATCAGCGGATGGAGTGGGCTGGTCTTACCTGACAAACCCCATCCAATCTGCCAAGGGGCAGTGCGAGAGCCAGAAAATGATGGCCCAACTGCCCCTGCCATCCTTCTTCAACTACCCTTTGCTGAAGTAGTAGTTCCATCAAAACACATTCCTATAGACCTCCAAAGTGGTCCCTTGGCCCCCCAAATGCTCCTTGTTCCTTCAGTTATCCAGTGAAAGACAAATGGATTCAGGGATCCGTGTAAATCTGGTTAATTGGATAAACAATATACACGCTGAGAATAAATAAATGAATGACTCCATGTAGTATGCTTAGTACAAAGCAGGACTTGAAGATCAGGTCAATGTTTGTGTTGTTAATACTATGATGATTATATTTAAAAGTCCCCAATGGATTATTCTCAAAGCAACAGGGCTTTCCTCACCACTCACATTCTATGATTTTATTGTTTCCTTCACTGAGTACATTGAAGGGTTTATAGTGAGTAGTTGAGATGGTGGACTTTGAACTGACAGCCTTGGGTGTGAATTCTGACTCTGGCAGCACGCTCCTAGCAAGGTACTTCACTGTGGGAGGAAGAATAACGTCCACACCCCTAAAAACAAAGATGTCCATGCCCTAATCCCTGGAATGGGTGAATATGCTGCCTTACATGGCCAGAGGGACTCTGCATCTATAATTAAGTAATGGATATTAAAATAGGGAGATTCCTGGATTATCTGAATGGTCCCAAGCTAACCACAAGAGTTCTTTGAAGATGGAAGAGAACGGCAGAGGGTCGGAGAGGGAGAAGTGACTACGGAAGAAGTCTCAGTCATAGGATTGCTGGCTTTGAAGATGGAGGAAAGGGGTCACGTGTGAAGAAATGAGGACAGCTTGAGAAGCTGGAAAAGGCAAGGACACATTCTGTCCTGGAGCCGCTATCTGGATTTTAGCTCAGGGAAACTCGTTTCAGACTTCTGACCTCCAGAACTAAAATTCTACATCTGTGTGGCTTTAGGCCAGTGCGTTTGTGGAAATTCGTTACAACAGTGATTGGAAGCTAAGTGATGCTCCTTGAGCATCTGTGTCCTCATCTATAATATAGGAAGTAAAAGTATGTGCCCCAAAAGGCTGACATGAGCATTAGATGAGAGAATGTAAATAAAACTTCAGTGCTTGGCACAGATTAAGAACTCAATAAATGTTTGCTGTCATTATGTTTATGATGTCACCACACAGAGTGTGAATTTACATATGGCTGATTATAATAAAGTGATTCCACAAAGTATATTTCATTGTATCATAATAATACTTTTCACTAGAGCAACAACTATCTGGTTTTTATGAAGCACTTTTATCCATATTGTCTTATTTAATGCTCATTATAATTGTGCAGGGTCAGTAAGGCATCCGCAGGTGAGGAAACTGAGTCTCCACGTGGGGAGTGCTTTCCCTAGGTAACTCAGAAGCTCATTCTGTTGGCCAGGGCTGGAGTACAGGGCATCTGCTTCCAAATACAGTATGCTCCCAGCTTCATTGTGTGGCTTATAGAAATACATACAGTACACAGAATCTTAATATGACATAAAAATGCTAAAGCCAAATGATGATGGGGGTTGTTCATCGCCACCCAAACCATTTCCCATATGATCTCAGCCAGCGGAGCTTTCTGCTGGGCCTCCAGCTCTTCCAAGCACGGCTTGAGCACTCTCTCTAATGCATCTAGTCAATTGTGCAAAGCACAAGGGAAAAAATTCCATCCTGACCGCAGCAGGCAATCACCTTATGCCCTGAAGCATGAAGTTTGATTACCCTTATCTCAGTTTATCATTAAATCAAAAACTGTTGCTATGAATACTGGCCCAGGACTTCATTTATGAAATGATACAGGCCAGTCAGCAGAAATAAGTGAGTGCCCTTTTTCTTTCAAAATTTCTGTTCGCTATAAAGATCTTTTGCAAACTGGGAGGGTGGGAGGGGGGGAAGCCACTTTAGCTCTGAGCAGATTTTATTACTTTCTTTAGTCTTTCATGAGCTAGCTGGGATGTCTTTGGCTCATAATCATTCTCCTCGCACCGTAGGCAAGAGGTCTTAGATCTACTACGGAGTGGCCTGCCAACAGTAACCCTGAGGTCTAGCACTTTGCTTGGATGGGAATCTGCATTTTAGCAAGATGCCAGGCAATCTGTAGGCACACTGATGTTTGAGGAGCTCTGACTAAACTAAAGCACCATTTCTCAAAATGTGGTGAAGGGACAATGGGCACAAGTTACCTGAAGTGTTCCTTAAAAATGCAGACTACTGGGCTTCATTCCAGATGCAGCAAAACAGACCCACTGGTGTTGGGGCTCTGGAAATCTGCATTTTAACCCTATATGATTGTGATGAAATTTAAAGTTTGAAGACCACTTGTAGAGATCGAAGATGTGGGTGATGACAGAGATGGTCAGGAGTGTGCTTAAATTTTTATGACATTATTCACATTTTTAACAACCCTGGGGCCACCAGCATAGAACATGTGCTAATTATCGATATTTTGTCCTTCAACAGAACCGATAGTGGAAGCCAGGCTTTTGTCACCACAATTCTGAAACAGCTGACCTCGGGCTTAGGGATCTTCAAAAAGGTGCCAAGGTCTAGAGTAAAATCTCCAGTCCACTGAACCTCTCCTTCCAAATTCCCCTTTCCAGTTTGGCTGAATGTGTGGCAAGTATACCGAGTGGGAGTGCAGGGTAGCTGTTGTGGAATTGGCCTCAAGGTACATATATTAGTTAAAGAGATAGGATAAAATCACATGTGAAAAGATAGCACAGTACAAGGGCTAAAAGCATAGGCTCTGAAGCCAGCCTGCATTTATTTTTATTTAACAGACACTGATATATTTATAGCACTCACTACATGCCAAGCACTATTATAAGTGCTGTTCAAATATTAATTCATGTGTGTCTCACAATACCCCTAGGAGGTGGGTACTACCATCATCATCCACCTTTTATAAGGTGAAAATGGGTCTCAGAGAGGTGATGTAATTTGTTCAAGATCACACAGCATATGAGTCACACTCCAAGACTCACACCCCACAACAAGCAGACTCCAAGAGCTCATGTTCTTACTCACACTGCCTATCATGGGTCCAAGTTCCCTGGTTCCACTAGTCACTAGCTGTTTGACCCTAGGAAAATGACTTCATCACCCATGACTCAGTTTCCTCCTCTACAAAATGAGAATATTCACAATAATATTACTCATGTCAAAGAATGCTGATTAAATGATTTAATACATGTTCTTAAAAGTGTATCAGGCACATAACAAGCACTCAATATATGTTGGCTCTTGGTTAGCTATTAGTCCTATACTCTCAGAGGTAGAGTGAGGATTAAATTAGATAACATATTTGAAGTGCTAGGCACTGTGCCATGGCACATGGTAAGCACACAGTAAGTGCTAGCTGTTATTATTAGTCTAGTTGAACCAGGCCAGTTTATTTTAGATCCTGTCTGTAGGCAAGTGTGCTCTGCGCAGGGGGAGGCAGCCTGCCCTTCACTTCGACAAGCAACTGGGTGGGAGCCAGACCAATTACTAAACTAAACAGGTTCTCTGCTTTATGTCACTCGAATATTCCTGAGAAGTTCCCAATATTGAATTTGTATATGCTTAATCCTTTTTCCCTACTGACCTATTTTATAATTTCTGATTGATCTTTAATTGGCAGTGATTCTTCAGACTTAAGATTCGTCTCTAACACTGTCTGTCATATAACGATTAACTTGTAACAGACTTAAATATACCATAGAAAATTGAACCACTGGAGCAATTCTTGGCAAAGCAATTGACTTGATCATTCCCTAATGTAACTGTTTTCATTCTATTTTTCCTTTATTATGTGTTTTAATAAGCATACTTACACTACACAGAACTTCTGGTCTTTCCTCTCATGAAGCTTATTACCTCCACTATTAAACTTAACCATGGATTGATTATACTTTGTGTTAATCAAAGGGTTAACGATGGCTTGGAAACTCTAATGTCCAAACAGGTTATCTTGGGTGAGGGGGTTGAGTATGGCAGGACAAAGGAAGGTGAGGGAGGTGGGAAAGTGGGGGATTGGGGACCATTAGTGGCAGATGAGTTTCTCTGGAAGACTCAGGCCCTGAAAGAGGTATGATTTCCTCCTGGGAACCCTAAAATGAAATTTTCCAAAAGGAAGTATTAAAAACGTTCCAAGTCATTTCCCCTTTCTCTATTAGGAAAAGGCTGTCATAGCTCCAACCTCATTCCTTTCCGTTTACCAGCCATGATAAGCTATATCTGCAATGTAATGAAAAGTTAAACTCAATTAGTTTGCATTTATGAAAACACTTGCTGCATATCTACTACGTGTCACTCCCTCTGCTAACTTACAGTGATGAGCGCGCAATATAGCCTCAAAGAACCTGCAGTCTAAGCAGCAACTAGAGTCCAACTCATATGAGCATGGTTTCAATTTGTGTCTGTCCTCTCTTCCACTTCCTATCTTCACATTCCCTTATCTCCCCTCCAAAAATCCTCATATACATATGCAACATATTCTTTATTATAGAATCTATGTCTAGAACCTTTTCAAGTTTAAGAAAAAAGATGAAGCCAATGAAGCCACAGCCTTCCAGTTTGGTTCTGCTAAACAACTCTATGAGAGGAACTCGATGCTGGGTAATTTGAGGCAAATCATCTTATTCCTTGCAACGTTCATGTGTATCACTGAACCAGTTGGCAGCTGATGTGCGGGTTTTAGTCCTGATCACGGAGCAATCTAGTGAATTGCCACAAGATTGATCCTATTCATTCTGATGGCTTAAGCCGTAGGGCCATCTGCTGAATGGCTTAGTAGACCAGGCTCAATAAATATTTGTGGATTGTATGGCAAACTGCCTCTTCACACCTGAATTACAAGTCTGTCGTAGGTAAGGGCGTAAATATGGACAACTGATCTAGACCCTCACCCCCACCCCACCCCTGGGCTTTTGCCTAAGCTGTTCTGTATGCCTGGAATTCCCTCCCTCTCAACACCTCCCCTACCACCACTCCTCACTGTCCACCTGTCCAAATCCTACCTAGTTCAAGAACCAGCTCAAATATCAGTGACTCCACAGAGCCTCCCCTGATCACCCTCACCAGAAATAACCTCTCACTCTTCTCAATTTCCCTAAGACTGTGTATATCTTTTCTGGCACTTAAAACACACAACATTTCAGCTATTTGTACACCTTGTTTTTCCTGCAGCACTCAGTGAGATCCCTGACCTTGGGAATTGTGTGATGCTCCTCTTTGAGCCCTCTCCTGCTCTGTACCCACTTGTACAGAGTAGACCCAGGGTAAAAGTTAGCAGAATGAACAAATGTTAGTGCCAGCAATGGCAAGAACAACTGCAACATTCTTTATTCCTTCTTCTGCCTCCTCTTCTCCCTCTGTAGCTTTTAAAAACATCTTTATTTGATCCACCAATTACCCAGAGGAGGCTTGAGGACTTACTGATAAATAAAGACAACTCTGTAGACCAAAAAAAAGCTTGTAAAGACCCTTATAATAACAAGTGAGGCGTAGGCCAATGGAGAGGGGAATCTCAGTCCCTGCTTTCCTGACAGCCTGCTCCTGGGGAGTGGAAGTGTTATTTTCTAAAAGAGCTTCGTCTGCTCTGGTTCTTATGTGCCAGTTCCTCAGCTGAGTAGAATCTCCTGACGTTATTTTTAAGTACAGACTCCAATAATAGGCTAAGTAATTGCAGATCTTCCTGAGGCCTTATTATATATGTACCAACATATTGGGCTTTAAAAACCCATATTCCTTCCTGTAAATATATGTTGAGAACCTTACATTTCAGTATTATGTGTAGTGGTCATGCGTATTTCCCTTTGTTTCCTCTCATAGAGATCCTGAATTAAAAAGAACAAAAAATAATGCTGATGCATGAGAATTTCTCAACAATGTATGTGATTACTCACATAGATTGAAAGATTTTCCCTCCATCATAACTAAGAAAAATGTATAGTACAATCTAATAGAGACTTTAACTTCAGTAATACACTTTCCATACTGGTGTCACTAATGCTTGAACAGCTGCAGCTCTCACTGTCTTTGCTGATGGGGCCCATAAATACTCCTGGGAAATGGGACAAAGATACGTAATGGATCTTCACCTGCCAAGATCAGGGAAATGAATGTCAATCGCACCCGGACGCAGAAGCACTTTTTGGTGGAGAGTGATGAATATTGCCATTTGTCCTATGCCACTGTAATCTTGGACAGGAAAGCCTAACATGGAGAAAAATGGTGGGAGAAGATACCGTTCTAGGATGCTTGAAAAGAAGGGCATGTAATAATTATATGGCCAATCAGAATAAAAATTTAAAAAGTATAACAATATGATTTAGATTAGAAAAAAGATGGTGCTTCAAGAGCATATCCACAGTGTACGTATCATTTCACTCAGTATGCAATCTTCTCCCAAATCATGACTTTTTCATTGAAAAACAAATGTCAGAAATATTAGGAAGTCAGAAAATTGCAGGACGGTCTGTGTTCTTGGAAGCAATCCGGCGCAGTGGTGAAAAAGTGGGCTGAGATGTCGGGAAGCCTGAGTTCAAATCTTGCCCCTACCACCTTTCCATTGTGTAACCTCAGGAAAATGACGGCTTCTCAGTACCTCACTTTGTTTCCCAATAAAGCAGCAATAATAACATAATTCACCTTACAGAGCTGTCTGAGGGTTATATGATATAATCAATATAAAGATCTTAGGATGGTGCCTAGAATTTAGTAAGCTAACATCAAGTGTTTAGTATTGTGGTTGCTGCTTTCTCCTCTTCTTCCTCAGCCTCCA